AAAACATACGATAACTAAATTAAAAATGTTAAGAATAGTGAATAAATACATGAAAAACGTACCTTTACATAGGGTTGATTATTGATAAGGTACATTTCAAAAGCGATATTTGCACCGTAATCAATCATTGGTATTTTATCCAGTACGTTCGACTCACAGTTCAGAGCTATCATTAGAGCATTTATTGTGATATCGTGCTGAAGTTTACATTGTTTCATTACCACCATTATTCATCGTCAGAATGTTTTTTTTTTTTTTGATTTCGTAATTGGATATGTACAAAGATCTGATTCTACTTATATAATGGATGAAACAATCGAATCAATTAACATACAGCTGAGAGCGCGTAGAATCTAAGATTATTATACCAATAGCATGCCGGTTTGGTGCTATTATTATTGATCAAATCATTAAAGCAATCCCATTTCGCTTTCAATTTGCTCAAGACATCACTCAACACTGCACCACATCGTAATCGTTTCAATTCACGATCAGTTCCGAAATAATCCGCGATTCCATATCTGAATTATGAATTATTAAAACACATTGAAGCAAGTTGAATAGATTAAGAAATGTATTCTGTCTATCAAACCAATGCTATGAATTAAGATCATCAATTGTGAATGTAAAACAAAGTCGAATTTCCACAACCGATATTCTATGACAGATCGTTGAATACGACGAAGTCTTTCAGCCGTATCTTGGGTAAACCACTCGGGTTGAGATATATTATGCAATTTCTGAAATTAAACTAATCATGAAGAATCATTTTGATTCATTCGTATATCAGGCCCAATTGATGTTCACTGAATGTTCTCAATTAAATGATGGTATATGTTGTGTCATTAACATTATAATTAATGTGACTTTAACAATTAACATTATAATTAAATGCAGTAACACGGATAAAAAAGAATGGCAAACGCATATATACCTCACAAAGATAACAGTCATATTCATGGATGTGTCCTCTTCCGATTTTAATTGGTGAACCAGTTTTATTTGCAAGATCTTCTAAAAACTCCTGCAATATTAAGAAACGTTTTGTAAGTGGAAAAGATGACGAACGAAAAGAGAGATTGGATGCTTAATTCGTTAAAAAATTAGATGATAAGTAAGGTCACGTTTTTTTGAATATAATTCTTCTTCTGACAGGAAGAAGAAGAAGAAGAAGAAGGAGTGTTCTGGGGTGACGGTGAGCGGTTGGTTTGTCGATTGTTCTGTGCGATCGGCAAAATGTTCGTCATTGTTGCGATAGCTTGATG